CCGAGTTGCAAGATATTTACTTAATTAATAATTCAAGTTCCCAAATTCAAATTGTCACTAAATAACTGAACTAATTTCTCCCTTAATGCCCAATTATTTCAGGGCAGATTTTTCTTCAAAGGAACGAGAAACCATCATGGCTAATATTCTTAACTTAATTATATCGTTTAGATTAAGTCGATTTTGTAATTAATTTTTACTAAATATTTGTATGCATTAATGGAAAAATAATCGGATAGCCTATTACACGATAATTAATTCATTTATTGATTTATAGGTCTGCTAAAATATACAACTGTTATCCACTGAGCAAAATGCTTTAGTCAAATCCTGAATACCAAATATCGGAATAATTAAAATGAACAAAATTGGGAAATTTAATATCAAATAGCCCATAATTTAAACACAATTGCTCAGAAATGATCATTTATTTATTTGGTAAGCTTTTAAAGGTTAATAATTACTTATTAGTCATAATTAAATTTTTCATTCGTTTTTATATGTTAGATATAGAATCATATTTATTCCTGTACTTTTGTTCCAAAATAAATCATACGACAATTCATTCATTAAAAAAAATGTTGATTTTGTCCATAAGTGCGTGTTGAAAGCTTCTATTCAGCCTTGACTTAGCAATGATACAGTGCAGTCTTGTCCAGGGTGACTAAACATTCAGCATTTCAATACCGGGATCCGCCCCTTCATATACCCCAAATTTTGCTTTTAGAGTAATTAACCACCCAAATCGTGAGAAAGTTAGAGTGCAGGTGAGACTAAGGAAATTTTGGGAACATAAAAATTCCATTAGGATGGTGTGAGAACTTGCAGAAACGCGGAAAATCCGATCCTCTAGAAAATTAACAGAATTCCTTCCTCATTTTACTCTAAAATTGCAAAAATCAAGTATATTTCAAAAATTCTATTTAATTCAGTCACTTTCATGAATTATATTGAAATTGTAAGCAAGAATGAAATACATGTGTAAGTTTTAAAAGATGTATTGAGCGATTAGTTCAGTTTCTGTCATGAATTTGAAAAATGACTTACCAAACACCTTCCAAATTATGAGAATTATAAAAATGGTGCAATCTTCTATTTATTCTTATATTAAATAGCCGTTATTTATTAATATGGGCTGAGTTATTGCATGCTTCTGAATTCATTTGAGTGTAGGGTTTCAAAAAAAAACGGTTATCTGAATGCGAGAATGAGAAATCACCTATCTATTAAAAGATCTTATTTCCGCCATAAAGGTGTTTAATAAAATGAGGATATCTGCTTGCCACCAGCAAAATAATCGACTTAAAATTTTAATTCCTTTATTGGAAAGTATAAACTTGTCATCTCAGTCAATTGAAGGAACATAATTTTAATATAAAATCACAGTTTCGACACAATTGCTTAATATCTTGGATCCATCACAATTGAATTTCGATTCGTATTAAAACAAAAGCACTCAATGCACTGATAATCGTGCTTGTATTTTCCCCAAATTTGCATTCGCCAAAAGCATAAATTACAAAAATAAACCTCCAATCTGCATAATCATAAAATTATTAAAATTATTCATTCAAATCTGTACAAATGTTGGCATTTCCTTTCATAGAGATAATTCAATTACTGCTACCGATAATTTAAGAAATCTGGAAGAAGTGATTTAATAATCATTTTACCTGTGTGCCTTCCTCCGCTCCGCCGAGTAATCGAAGTCCAAATCCCTTAGGTCCTCGAACTAATTTTACGTCGAGATCTATGTGCTGTGGTCCACCATTTAACTTTCGAAGGGGGGATGAGGGCGCAGAAACTGGTACCGGAGATGGCGAAAAGTCGACAAACGATTCTGCAACTGTAGTATCATCTCCAGAAGTGATGTCATGGCTTGACTTATGGGATTTAACATAGACGGAGGCGGGAACGAAATCGGGAGTCTTACAGGGTCCACTAAGGCCGATTCCACGCATTTTAATGGCCCTTAAAATATCAAGATCCTTGTGATTTTCAGCCCCATTTGAGTTGGTTTTATGAATAGGAAAAGATCGCATTAATTTTGCACGAAACATTGATATATTTTATGAGCAATCCATTTGATTCAGAAGCTAAGCAGGCTGTGTGAAGGCTGCCTTTTGTGATAAACCAATGGCGTTGCAGATAATGCACCGCCCGGCCAATGTTACTCGCCTTTGCTGTTGACCAATCAGCACGCCACGTTTGGGTGCAAATGAGGCACACCTGCCTCCTTATAGCAGGTGTGACGTAATATATGAGATGACTCAGCACAATGTGATAATTTATTCCAGCCTCTTAAACCCAACAAGTTAATCTCATTTCAAGTTTTCTTAGGGGAAAACAGATAGGCAATACAGCAGAGCGCCAATAATCAACTTAGCAAAAGCTGGTCACACATTTAAAATGTATCTCCCTACATACAAATATTTTTAATCTTGTTGTTTTTTGGTTACGTGTTTATGGCTGCCAAATTTGATCTTTTCGCATTGAAATAGTTAGGATTAGTTGAGAAAGAAGCTACAGGACTGAGTTTGGCTACCTTAGCCATTTTTAGTAAAAAATTGCAACTTGATAATCGCATAATTTACAATTCAGTTTCAGTTCCCTGAGGCATTAGAAGAAAGCCAACCCCTGAACTCGTGTAAGCTTAAGGAATGAGTGGTTGTACCACACCCATCCCCACTGTAATGTGGCAACATTTGTAGTGTTATCATTAATCCCTTTGTAAAGACCCACTTTATCTGACTTTATTAATTGTGTTTCTTCGAGTGATTTGTGAGCTATGTATTCTCGTATTATTTTCAAGTTTGGTTTGTGCTTTACCAAATACAAGACAAGGTGATTCACCGCTCTTCTTTACACATGAGCATAAATGTGTACGAAAACAGATGAATACGAAACATTTAAGGCCAATGTCAACTTCTGATTTTTTCATTTAATTCCCAATCAAAGTTAACTTTTAACATTTTGAAAGACTGAAAGAAATGGTAACTGCAGAGGCAACTATTCATTATCACCATATTATTGTTACCCAGATGGGGTGTGCGATAGATTAACCTCCAGGTGTTGCACCCTGGGCAACGTATACTCATATAGCAAAAAGTCAGTCAACTGGCAGTCGACTTTTCAATTCAAACTACCATGAACCCACTATATGTCATATTCGACCCCTTTCACAGTACTTACCTTACCTTTTCTCCGCCTTTTTGTCTGTCTGTCTCTTCTACATCTGTGAATCATTATTCTGTCCCTTCTCTCAACTTTTTGTCATTTTGATGTTCCTCCTCCTCTCTGTGAAGTCCGAAGTCAGCTAAAGGGCTAATGATAACTATCAAAACGCCTGCCATTTGAAAAAAATAGAAAATTGTTATCCAGATGGGTACCAGTTTTGCTGACTTTAATTGGGAGAAGTTCGAGAAGCCTGTCCAAAATAGAAGATGGCACAAAGGGAAGCTGTGAGTGACACCAGGGTGTCAAAGAGTCATATTTCAGTGGATTTTTTTAGAATCAAATTGAATACTGTCTATTGATCAATTCAGTTTATTATGAAAATTGGTCTGCTACTTTAAATCATTTTTTTCTTTTAAAACTGTTGTGAAAGCCAAGTTACTTTCCCTCAATTCAGTTGCTTAGCATTTTGGTACAGCGAAATTAAAATAGCCAGAATAGCAGAATTTCATTCATCAAAAATAAGACTGCGTTTTTGTAGTTGTCGTCCATGATAATTTCAATTCGTCCAACGACTACATCAGAGAAGAGAAAAGTAAAATTTTTAGAGTTCCGTCTTGAAACCA